AAGTATTTTCTGCCCGGCACCTCAGGATCATTTTCAGGATTTCAAGTGCAAAAACTTGCCTGCTTGCCTCACGCACATACAGCATTAAATCTTTATTACCTCCAGTATCACTGAGAGTTAATCCAGCACCAAGTTCAGAGCTGTAGACTGAGGCCCTGACAGGTCTGCCCCTTTGCAGGAGAGAGATGGTGCTGATTACTTGCTGCTGTGGGAGAGGAGAGAGCTGGCTGAGCTGAAACAGGATCTGGAGGGAACACTGAAAACCACACTGAGCCAGCTTCAGGTGATTTACAGTCCTCTGTCTTCATCGCTTGACTTGTTTTCCCTCCACTCTACCCTCACAGGCACGAGAGAGGTTAGAAAAACAACAATGCTCAGGTATCACTAACCTCCACCCTTCTTCTTTAGATTTTGTTGTTGCTGGATTTATAGGGACAGTTTATCCACCTGAACTGTTCCGATGTGAGACGAGTGAATTCTCTTAAATTTAACACATTTAAAATCCAAAAGACTTGTGAGAAGTTTTGTGACTAGAAGTTTGGTGGATGTAGATAGTAGAAAAAAAGTAGTTCCTTTGTTTTGGTTCTTTGAAGACCAAAAGGCGAGATGGTACGGTGATGTGTCTGTTTTAGAGTGAGTTGTCCAATCTTGTTGGTTAGAACTACAGGCCAGAGGAAACATATGTAAATTCACTTTTGAGGTGAACTGTTCCTTTAAGTTAAAGCTCAGGCATTTCAGGGGATGAGTAACAGGAAGTAACAGCCATGTAGCATATATCTTTGAGGTTGCTAAACGTAACATGTTTATGTTTACTGGGTTACTGAAACTGCTGCGTATCCAGGCTGTTGATGCCTCGACCAGCTGAATGAAGAATTGAAAGATTGCATGCTCTCCCTGTGCCTGCATGGTTTCTTTAGGCTGCTGCAGCTTTTCCCCACAGCAGAACTGCTTGTTGACTCTGAATAGGCTGCATGTGTGAATGTGAGCTTGAATGAAGGTCTTTCTGTGTTGGCCCTGTGATCAGTGTTGGTCAAGTTACTTGAAAAAAGTAATCAGTAACTAATTACTGATTACTTCCCCAAAAAAGTAATCCAGTTACTTTACTGATTACTTATTTTCAAAAGTAATTAATTACTTAGTTACTTTTTAAAAACACGATTTACAACCTGAATAGGTGATAAAGCGATAGATCTTTCAGCCCAATTCTACTTTTTCTACATAATCATCATACAAAATGTAATCAAATGGAAAAGTCTCTTTTTAAAACTTGTTTTATTAGTTTTAATCTTTTAACTTTATGCATCAAGCAAAAATGTAATTATATGCAACATTCTCAGACTGGAAGAAATTAGTTTAACATTTAAACCTATTTTCTGCACATTCCAGCACATAAAATAAAATATATATTTGTGTTTACACTCAGTCTTTCAAATAAATGCAAGTAAAACACAGCAGAAAATAAATAAAGTCAAAGACTAGCGGTCCTGTTGCTCTATTTTCACCTGTAAAGCAGGAGTGGGGTAGGCGGAGGTTTACCCTGGTGCAGGTGTGCCGCAGCGGTCAGTGGAAGAATCCGCGAGTTTCTCTGTGAGTTTCCCATTACGTCGTAGCTACTCGGTGCTTGTTTGGAAGTTTAGGGGTTTTTTCGCTGTAAAAAGAAGTTTTCTTCCCACGCACAACGGACACTAATGTTTTTGTCACTTTTTATGGAATCAAACTCAAAGTAAGGTCAGTACTTCCACGCTTTAAACGCTGCACGCTCATACTCTCTCTGCACTCGATATATGATCCGTTGTTGATCTGCACACAGCTGTTGTCACGAACGTCGCACTCGCTTACGTCACTGTCATGAGACATTCTCGCAAAAAATCACGGTTTTAGTAACGCAGTAACGCAGCGTTCCTACATGAAAGTAACGGTAATCTAATTACCGTTTTTGCGATAGTAATCCCTTACTTTACTCGTTACTTGAAAAAAGTTACAGTAACACGTTCTGCCTGTGATAGACGGGGACATGTTCAGGGTCTATTCCACCATTTGCCTTATGAGCTGGGATGCTGGGATAAGCTAAAGGCCTGAATGCCCCTGAAATGGATGGGCTGTTTGTTGTTAAGCAAGCGCACTGAACAGAGAGTTTAACAGGTGCTGTTAGCCTGAGTCAAGAATAATGTACATAGACAGAAAGATACATGTAGCCGCTGTGAAATAACCGATTGGTTTGTGGTTTGCATTTTCAGTCGTAAAACCCCCCACTTGAAAATCTCACATATTTTATTTCATGAAACTTTTTATTGGTATTTTTTACCACATTTTTCTGTCTGCAAAGTAACCCGTACCTATATATTTGTCTGCCAGCTGCTGTCCTAATGCATTATTTCCTGCCTTCTTCTTTAAGGCCCTGGGTGAGAGCAGCAGACAGCTGCTGGACTGTGCCAGCGAGAGGGCTCGAGTACTGACACTGCTCCCTCTCAGTGGCTCTACTGGAGGACATGACTCTGCACCTCAGACCTTTATCAAAACAGACCCCATCAGCCCCTTTACTCCAGGTACACTCAGGACAAGGAGAAGCTCTCGTTAAGAAATTATATAAGAAATAAGAGCAGATTTTGCCCAAATATCAATGAAACAAGTGAGAAAAACAACAGCACAGTTCTTACACCACACATAAATGATATATTTTCAAAACAAGATCCTAAAAAAAGAGAAGTATAAACTCCAGAACTTTAATTAAACGAATTAGTTGCTTTGTACGTGGTCACTAATCTACACAGCCAGTGTCCCTGCTCACACTCAGAGAAAGAGCAGATCATCATCATCAGATCTCCTGTGTCCTCAGGATTAACATTGACAGATAGGATATCTCCTGCTTCTCTTGCAGAGTGTAAAAAGGCTTTAGAGTCGTCCTCTCTGAGGGTCAACCAGTCGCAGCTACTGAGAGAAACCATCAGACGGACGCTAAACAGCGCCATCAGCAGGCAGAAAGCTGCTCATTGCGCTGTCAATGACGGCCTGGTGAAAAAAATTGCAGAGACAGTCACCCTGCAGGTAAAAAGATCCTGAATGAATGCAGAAGTGCATTTTTGTATTAAGGTAATAACACATACTTAACCATCATTCTGTCTTCTGTAGCAAAATCTGGCGCTGACGTCTGCAGCCACCCGGCAGGCCATGTTTCGTAAGCAGAGGGAGATCAACTGCATTCGTCACAGCCACGGCAGAGCGCAGGTCAGAGAGCGCGTGGAGCATGTTTATGTGAGATTTCATGAAAACGTTTGGCTCACGCTGTCCTGCTCACAGGGTCCAGAGTACAGCGGTGATCTTCTGTCCAGAGAGAAGCTCAACAGGCCTCTGGTGAAGGTTTATCAGAGACACCCGGGGACACAGTTACCTGAAGCTGCTCAGCTCATTCAGGTGCGTCCGACACACATCCGGCTGCCACATTCATGATCATACTTCATGAAGTGTGTTTTGGCCTTTACCTCGTCCTGATGTCAGATTTCTGAGTCTCTGAGTGCTGAGGCTACATGTGTGTGTTTGCACTGTGATGCTAAGCTGGGAGTGTACTCGAAGTCAGCTGGACCTTTTGTGCTGAAACGACTAAGCTAACAGACTCTGCTGCAGGTGTGTCAACATGGACGGTGCCTTTCACATGCATATCGAACCAGTGATAAATTGGACATAATTAATCTGCAGCTTTAATATTTCCAATCATGTTTTCTTCTTTATATTCTGGTAACATTTAATAACTTTGCTGATTACTGATGGATTAATATTTAATACACATTGTTACAAAGAAAAAAAATCCAAATACAGGGTGAGCTGAATGCTCTGGGTTGATGTTAGCTTCCACTTGAACTCTGCAGAAACTAATCTGCATGATGTTTGTCTGCAGAAGCTGAGACTTGTTTCTAAATTCTGCCTCGTGCATTTTATGGTTTGCAAAAATAAATTGTGACCTCAAAGCAGAACGATAGGCGTGAAGCACAGTCTCACTCTTCAGCTCAGTCTTTATAATTATGCTTAATAATGCTTTGCATGTCAGATACGACTAAAAATAAACACAAACTGAACATTTACCAGGATTCGTATCATTATCATTATGGAGTACAGTGGCTGGTGTTCACTTGTATTAAAAAAGCAAAGTGGTTTATCACTCTAACTCGCTCATTTTGCCTCAGACAAACAAAATCATTTTGAAATGTGTTTCCTGTGTGTCTCTCAGAGCGGTGCGGCGCTCAGACGATGTCTGAAGTCCTCTGAGGGTGAGCTGGGGAAGCTGCAGCGCACATGTCTGCAGCTGCTGGATGACCTGCAGGGCAAGAGAGCTGCAGCTCAGGTGGACGCAGCTGTGGTCCGCATGAGGCGTCAGCAGGTCGACAAGCGAGCCATGCCCGCTTTCCTCCAGCAAGGGGCGCTGTGATGCTAATTTAGTTAATGATGAGAACGATTTACAGGTTAAAGAACATTAGAACAGCTTGAAAATGCACTTTAAGGTAAAATGTTTATGCACAGTCTTGTTTCTTTGGCTCATTTATGTTTTTTCTAAGCTGTTTAGTTTGAGTTGAACTGTATTGCATCATCATAGATATTTAATACACAAGTGATCTGCAAATTTCAGAAAAAACACATTTTATTCACAAACCAAAACATTACATGTTTCAACTTAGAAAATATACAATTTTGGGAATATTAGCTCATTTTGAATTTGATGTGGCAACATGACAGGCCCATGATTGTGTGTCAGTGTCCTGTGGCCCCTCTTCTTTTATATCCAGTCCCTAAATGTCCAGGGTCTGGGGAGAGCAGCTGCTGGACCTTTGGTCCTTTTCTTCTCTGATAGCTGATTCTAGCTGCTTAACAGTTATATTTCTTGTTTCATGATGCTTCAAAGGTTTTCTGTTGATGAAAAGTCTGGAATGCAAGCAGGCCACTCCAGCACTGAGTTCTGATAATAAGTCAGATTGTCCCTCTCGTCCTCAGTCCGGAGGACACAGCGTCCATGTTCTCCAGTGAGAATTTCAGATTTCAGTTTGTCCACAGAACAATTTTCCACTTTGCCTTTTAACGAGCTTTTTCCCCAGAGAAGTTCTTTGCATGGATGTG